GTTGGCCTCACACGTTTCACGACCTGACAGCCTACGGCCTTACTTCCACTCATGTGATGAGTTTTCTCTGCAAGGGGATTTTGTGTTCAGAGGTACACACCTTGTTGTTCCAGTTGGCTTACGTCACACACTGCTCATGCTGGAGCATTAAGGCCATCAAGGTATCGTGAGAACTGTGATCTGTATGGAGCCCTAGTATGGATATCCAAGTCACACAACAGATTAAAACTTGCCAGTTATGTCAGTCGTGCGATAAGTCTGCTACCCTTGCTGCTGCTCTGCTACAACCAGTACCATTCCCTTCTCAGCTATGGGAAAAGTGAGCTATGGATGTAGTTGGACATTTTGAACCTGCTCCTTGGGACTGAAATATGCTATCACTTTAACTGATTATCACAGTAAATGGCCAGAAGTTGCCTTCATTGCTTCTGTTACAACGGACACTTTGACGAGTTTCCTATCCTCAGGTTTCAGTAGATTTGGAAATCCACTCAGTCTGGTGACAGACAGTGGAAGTCAGTTCACGTCCACAAGCTTAGCTACCTTCCTGAAAGCGAGAGGAATACAGCACATACGTACATCAGTTTGCCACCCAGCTGCAAATGGTGCTATTGAGAGATTTCACCGTTTGCTCAAGAGTTGCATCAATCAGCTCGAGAGGATACCTTGGAAATCAACTGTTACGAGTTCCTTCAGGTGTATTGCTCTACTCTTCACTCAACTACTGGGATCTCCCCTTCTGAGTTGCTCCTTGGAAGAAAGATGCATAGTCGCTAGCATGTCCTACCACCTGCTGTGTTTGAAAGGGACTGTGCAGCTCTGTCTGATAAAGTCAAAACTTGGCAACGCAAGATGAAAACGTACACTGATGCCAGGCGTGGCGCATGCACTCCTATCTTCAAAGAGGGTAATAAAGTATGTGTTTCCAAACCATTTCATTTGGTCAAAGCACATCAAAGATACTCTGAACCACTGCAGATCCTGAAGAGAGTTGGCCCTGGAACTTACCTGTTGGAGGATAGAAGGAGATGGCATGCTTCTCGTTTAACAACATTCCTACGATTCCTTCAGCACCAGAACATTTTACTATGGACCCATATATACCCATAGCTTTACAGCCAAACATTGCTTATGATACTTACCGTGCTTCTGCCCTCATGAGACGCCCCCCACGCTGGTTAGATCACTATGTGAGATAAAGGGCAGTTGTGGTGAATTAAAAAATGTACCCTATTCTAAGACAGGATTTGAGTTGGTTACTTTGTTATTACATTTCTGGAGTTATTATTCACTCTTAGTTCAAAGTGTTATTCTACATCTACTGAAACTGATTATTGGTTACTAAAGATTGATTAATTAATTTGTACAGGTTATGCTTATTGGTATTATTTTAAGTAACGGGGAATATGTTGCATACTGTGACCAGTAGGTGTCAGTGCAGATGAAGAGAGTAAGAGAAGGAAAGAGGGGGTGTTTCTCAATGTCAAGGTGCCTGGCCTTGTGAGGCGATGTCTTGCGAGGCCAGGCACCTTGTTTACGAGGATGAGGTCCTTCCTTGGTCAAAGAAAATGGTTAAATGGAACAGACTTGCATCACGTGACCGCGGCTTCCACGGTGGTCACATAACGACAAGTGACATGGGAGACAATGCTATATTTTATACGTGTAAGTTTCAGTATAAACATATAACGAGCCTTTTACTTTTTAAATTGTTTACATGTTTATTAAATTAAATATATAAGTGAGGTTCTAACTGCTAGCCACCAAAGCTGCAACTACTAAGCAACTAACCAACCATAGATAACTTCTTTGGATCTAAAAAAGAAACATTTTGAATTAGTTGACTTACTTTTAAATTTGAAAGTTGCCCTCGAAGTAGCTGCCGGCTTCTGATCCACCGTCCTTTTGAAAATACCGCGGTGTATTGTGGGTAATGTTTGACCAAGGCTAGGCTACAAGACACCTCCCGTGTATCCTCGTTCAGCTAGCTAAACAGCTAACAAACGGAGATCACACGCCTCGGTAGAACATGAACATTGGAACACGTCTTGGTGGTTCCTGATGACATATCTCCTAGGCAACCGGGGCGGGGCCAAGACATCAAGGCGAGGTTCCTTGGCATTGAGAAACACCCCGTGGGAGAGAAGGGATGTAAGATGGCGGATGAAGGAAAGTTATGATGTGGACCGCATGTTAAAAGTAAAGATGTTCTAAGTTCCACGTAGCTTCTTCATGAATGTGTTACAAACATAACACTGTGGCTGTGCGCAGGTCAGCCAGAAGTAGGGCTGTAGCGAAGCCTCGACGACGTTGACGGCTCGATTCTAAAAATTTGTCGACGTCAGATCCGGAAGTCGACGCACCGCGCCCACTTGTTGCATCCCCAGGAGTTTGTAAATAGAGGAGGAATCTGCCTGTTTTTCCTCTAGTTCGTCTCTTCTCCGCCTTCACTAACATCTCCGCCAAATACCGAAGACCCGGAACAATCCCTAGTCCACTACTAGATTATTTTCCTGTTTTGCCCGCCTTCGTCTCCCGGCAACGGACAACAACTTCCGGGGTCAGATGCGCTGCTTCGTCTCTACCGCAGATACAGAAAATCACCGGGAGCGTTTCTCCCTTCATAAAGGAGCTTCTTTCAGACATGAGGAGAGCTGTTTTGGTGGTAGCAGTCTCTCCTCCGTGCTGGTCTGTTTGCTGCCGGGTGTTTTTGTTTAATTTAAACTTGGTAACTTGAACTTAATGTTGGTAAAGCTACTGTTAGCATCTTCGCTAACAGCTTCTAGCGTTGGGATAAGCTGTTACGTTTTGGTTTAGAGTTCATGTTTTTTGTGGTGCAGATCTCCCTTTTATTACATTTAGAGTGTTGTGGGTTTTCGGTTTAGTGTAAAATATCACCTTGAGTTTGGTTTAACCACCCAGTTTAGAGTTTGGACTTTTGGAGATCCTTATTTTGGTCCAGAACCCTGTAATCTTTGCCCAGTGGGACATCCCTAGTTATTTGTACTTTGTTTTAATTCCCCACAGGCAGAATTAGTTTTATTATTCCCAACCTGTGGATGGAAAGATTTATGATTTTTTGTAGTTGTAAATAAACCTGATCATCATTTTAACTTTTAAATCCCATTATTGTCCCTTCCTTTTTGCACACGAGCCAAACTCCCCAGGAAGGGTCGTAACACCACTCGCCTCACGCTCATAAGTGACCAAAACAAAGCAGCGTGGAGACACTCCATCTCCAACCACCTCTCAGGCAGCAGCCTGCACTCCCAAGTTCTACACGTCACCAGAACATAACCAACCAACACAATAAAAGCAGTGTTATACAAAATGGAAGGCCTGTAGTGTTTATTCTCTTACAGTAAGAATTTATCAATTTTTTTGAGGAATTTATTTGAGATTTTCTGGTTTTTGTTAATTGTGCAATAGAAAAATAATCATTAGATTAATTTTCTAAATAGTCATTAGAATAGTCGACTATTTGATAAAATAATCGTCAGAATAATCGTTTTAAAAATAATCATTTACCCCCAGCCCTAGCCAGAAGCATATGGAGCATGTGAATAAACAGTGCTCTCCCTACTTGAGGAGATGCTGAAGCGAGCATGAGAGAGGAACACAGACTTGGAAAAATCAGGTGGAGTAACTCCACATGTAAAATAAAGTTTCTCCACTTGCAGGTTGTCAAATACATTATTACATTATATGACAGAGCAATACTAAAATATTTGCTGCTACAGCCCTATAATTTCAGCATAATCTATTGCTTTTTGTTTGCTTTAAGGTGGTCAAATTTTGAAAGTTGATATTTATCTTTTTTTTTAAAGGCCATTATTTTTGCTTGAGCTAAAAAAAATCCATCACTCATCAGCTGAGTCCTGGATCTTCTTCATCTTAGATCTGCCCCTGTGGATGGCCGTGCTAATGCTAGTTTAGTCAATGACTCAAAGCAGACTTAACCATGTTGCTGTCTGTTGTGTCATCAGGATAAACTTGACTTGAAAGTCATGTGAAAGTGATCTGAGGCTGCAGACCGGGACAGGATATTTTTTTGGCACGGCACTCGTTTGACACTGAACACAAAAACATCACTCAGATTATTAAACGCATTCAACGTGAGTTTTTCTAAACGTGTGGCTGTTTCTGCAGAATCAGTATTCTGCAGTGTTGTTAGTTTTGTCCAAGCATGATGGATCTGTCAGGTTTCCTCGTTCCTACGCCTTTGGTAGGAAGCAGAACCGTTTCCTGCAACCTCCTCGTCTCCTGCCTCCAACAGAACAACCCTGGTGACTAAACTCAGCTTAAAGTGGAGTAAAACCGGAGCACACCGTTTCCATGGAGCCCTGCTGGTTCCAGGTGTGTGTGAAGACCGCAGATGAGATAAAGAGCTCGGATTTGTTGTTGGCCTCAGGGATCGGGTTTATTATTTCCCCAAGAAGCCAAAACACTAAACAGGAAGTTGGCTGACAACATTTACTGCCGTCAAGACTCTGCATTTTACATGTGTGCGTGCGTGTGCAGGCGCGTGTGTGTAGAGGAGGGTCTGCGGAGTAGTCAGAAGGCTCTGGGAGAGGCGGACTTGCTGTGATGCGCTAATCCAGCGGATTTACGCACGATTTTAGCGGTGAACTCCCATTTACGTCATCTAGAAACCTTTTTAGAAAAAACAACTTGGTGGCGGAGAGGCGGCACCACCGTTTTCACCGAGGAACCACATAAATGATTCCAACACAGAGACATGAATCCTGTCCGCCTCCTCTCCACCACACCGGGTCCGGGCTCCTCACCGCAAAGTGCGTCAACAGCTGGACTTCCTCTGGAGCAGAGAGGAGACAGAGTCCAGAACCAGATCCGGACTGAACCCGAATTTAAAGCCCGCACTTTGGGCTCTGGATGAAAACTCAACAGGAAGCCGATCTGCATCGCACTGAACCGGGTCCCTGTTTCTGGTTCGATCCACATCCCCTGCCCGTGAGACTACGCAACCCCACGTGACTCACCTGATATACAGACGATCAAGTTGGCGTGGAGGAGGATGAGAATCTCCCAGAATCCATCCATCCTCACACGCACATCACGCACTGATCTCACGCTGAAGTCCTATTCCCTCAGAACGGGTCCAGCTGCACACCTTTGTCCAGGTGTCCTCCGCAGCAGACGCACATCAGGTTAACCAGCCGCTCCGGATCAAGATGAAGACAAATTCCACAGAAGGACAAAAACGATCAACTCCAGAGAAAAGACTAAATCCTCCGAACAGTTCTTCCACTGGTTTAGTCTAACGGGACCCGTCCCCCCGGTACCGAACAGACGCACCGGGAACAGCGGAGGGTAGAAGCGCCAGACACAAATCCTCAACTCCGCAAACTCGCGTCGCCTGGTGGCGGGCTACCAATCAGACCTGCACCCGTTACTCTAACCAATCACCGTCGAGTTACACGGATTAACTCCTGCAAACACCCGGTACGCGCCTACAAAATAAAAGCCTGGCTGCTCCATCACAAACCCTGTTTTGAGTGACCCCTGTAGCCCCGAGGGTGGTGAGGGTCCCAAAGCTCTTCTAGCTAACGGAATGTAGAAACGCTCCAAGTGCATCACGATCATCTAACGCCACCAAATGTGTGTTTAGAAACATGTACAAGCATGTATTAAAGAGTACAGAGATATGTACACTGATGTAGCTGTGTGAGTGAGTGTGTGTGTAGGTGTGTGTGTGTGTGTGTGTGTGTGCATGTGTGTCTCTAGGTGTGTGTGTGTGTGTGTGCATGTGTGTCTCTAGGTGTGAGTGAGTGTGTGAGTGTGTGTAGGTGTGCGTGCGCGCGCGCGTGTGCGTGTGTGTGTGTGTGCATGTGTGTCTGTAGGTGTGTGTGTGTGTGTGTGTGCATGTGTGTCTGTTGGTGTGTGTGTGTGTGTGTGTGTGTGTGTGTGTGTAGGTGTGTGTGTGCGCACATATATGTGTGTATAAGTGTGTGTGTGTGCATCTCTGTGTGTGTGTGTGTGTGTGTGTGTGTGCATCTCTGTGTGTGTGTGTGTGTGTGTGTGTGTGTAGGTGTGTGTGTGCGCACATGTATGTGTGTATGAGTGTGTGTGTGTGTGTGTGTGTGTGCGCACATATATGTGTGTATGAGTGTGTGTGTGTGCATCTCTGTGTGTGTGTGTGTGTGTGTGTGTGCGCACATATATGTGTGTATGAGTGTGTGTGTGTGTGCATCTGTGTGTGTGTGTGTGTGTGTGTGTGTGTGCATCTGTGTGTGTGTGTGTGTGTGTGTGTGTGTGTGTGTGTGTGTGTGTAGGTGTGTGTGTGCGCACATGTATGTGTGTATGTGTGTGTGTGTGTGTGTGTGTGTGTGCGCATATGTATGTGTGTATGAGTGTGTGTGTGTGTGTGTGTGTGTGCGTGTGTAGGTGTGTGTGTGTGAGCGTGCATGCATGTGTGTGTGTGTGCGTGTGCGTGTGTGTGTGTGCGTGTGCACCTGTGTGTGTGTGCGTGTGTTGGGGGGTATATACTTATGATAATATGGGAATATGTTAATGAGGATTTTTATTAATGTACAATTATGTGAATCCATCAATCAATCATCTTCAATCAGATATGTCTCATCATTTTACTTCCGGTCTTTTAGGGTTATTTCTGATTTCATTTACCTTTATTGAATAAATGATCAGTGATTGATACCTTTATTTATGATACTGATAATCTTATTAAGTGGTTGTTGTGGTTTTATGGTGATCCATGATTTTAAAGAAATATAATAAGTAAGAGTGTGTGATTGTAGTGCTTTAAAAGCTTAAAATATTACCTTTACTTATGACCAATAAGCTGTGACACTCTCTATAAATATGCATCAACATCAACCTGCTTGGTCTTTGGATGTTTAATCAGAAGAAGAAGAGAGTCGGGTTTATAAAAAGTAAGAATTTATTTTCCAAACAATTAAAACACGACAAGTTAACTAATATTACTGTGATGGGTGCATCTAGGTGGATGGAATGTGAGGTATGGTGACTACATGTGAACGTGATGTTATCAGAACTTTCGTATCTAGAAGAACTGAGTTCTGGGTGTAAAAAGGGAAGAATTTGGTTTGCATTAAGCTATGAAGTTGATTCTTATTAAAAAGGCATCAGACGCTGCTGCCCCGCGACCCGACTCCAGATAAGCAGAAGAAAATGGATGGATGGATGGATGGATGGATGGATGGATGGACTTTCAGGGTCAAACAAGCACTTCCAGGACGGCAATGGCGACTGGGGGTGAGCTCAAGTTGCCATTTTGCTGCAGCCAGGTGCCTCTCACCTAAGACAAAGCTGGACTCCACATTCAAACTCCCACTTGTGTAGTGAACAAGTCATCCCTTCCTTTCACATTATTCATTTACATTTTATTCCATCAATATTAATCATGAAATAAAACAAATCTTAAGGTGTAACAGTATATAACTCTTTTGGGATGAATGGAAGATCTCAGTTGGAAACTAAAATCTTCAAGCCTTAAAGGCCCCATGTGTGAAATCCATTGAAATCATGATGAAAAAATTTGACTCTTTAGCGCCATGCAGGTCAGAGAAAGTATTGCAGCTACTGTCCCCCGTGTCGGGAGATCGCACTTCCGGTGTCTGCTCGGGTGCAAGATCGGCTCGGGGTCCTTCGACTGCCGATGACGTCAAAGTACGGCAAATCCACTCGGACAAAATACACTACACATCTATACTGTTGGAAAGAATTTAGCAGTTTCGTTATTAAAATAATGTTTCTTAAGACGTAAGTTTGTGTTTATAATGGTATTTGTAAAATAAAACACTATTTTATTCATAATGTTGAACTCCTCTTTGAGCACATCCCTTGAAGGATCATATGGTATTAGCAACACCTGTGAAATTGTATTTACAGGAAAGAAGTGTGTCCCGTTTATTTAAGTATTTTGTGTTTAGAGTTTTTGACGTGTTGTCCATGAGTAGTTCAGTTACGCTCATAGCTGCTAGCTAAAACTCTGGAGTTAAAAGTTTTCTGGCTTTACTAAAATACCTGTCTGTACTTATTTGATTGATGGTATTTTTACTTTCTATTAGACTCCAAATGTAATCATTTGGCACGTTTCTAATTCATCATTTGCAATAATGTAATCGGCGATATTAGCATTAGCATTCCTATGAGTTTTTCCATGTATATTAGCATTGCGCTAACCACTCGCTGCCAAATTGCAGCCTTTGAGATTAGAAAATCTCCTTTTGTCACATCGCAATTTAATTGCACATGCAGTTAATCGTTCAGCCCTAATATACATGCAGCTCTATGCTAAAAGTGTATTTTCAAAGAGGTAATGATGGATTTCTTTGTAAAAGTTGTCCATCTTTCCAATAGAAAGATTTGCCTGGACCAACGTCACGTGATAACAACGTAACGTGATTACGTAATTCCGTCAGGTTCATGTTCAGCCAATCAACTACTTTGACGTCATCGGCAGTCGACGGACCCCGAGTCGATCTTGCACCCGAGCAGATCCTGTACCGACACCGGCTATTTTCACAACATTTGTGATAAATGTTTATGGGAAAATGATGTAATGTAATGTTCTGCTTGTGATTTTTTATCTGTATTTCCTCCTAAAAACAATAAAAAATATACATTAAAAACATTCTTGTTCACTCTTTTGCAGCAAGATTATTTATCATTTATAAAAGTTATGTAAAAAGATGTAATCTCACTCAGTTTAACCATCTTTTATTCGAGGTAGTTTAGTCCTCATGATGACAATAAGTTCTGTGGATTTGGAAATATTTGCTCTTGACTGCCTAAGAGAAACAGAATATTTCAGGGGAACATAATTTCCCACGACATCCGATTCACATGGATCACGGTGCCTCGATGTAAAGAAACTGGCTGCCGCTACCAGCTAATGGATATGGAGCGATCACTGGCTGCTCGTTAGCCACAGCTGGTGAAGGAGTGTGGACATGCTGGACATCAAGTAAACAATGTTGACTTACCCACCAGCTAATTGTGGCTCACAGCTGACGTGGTGGAGATCGGTGTCACAAGCTACTAGTTAGCCATGGCTAGAGCTGGGGGAGACGCTGTGTATGCTGTGCATAAACTCCCATGGATTACCAGCAAAAGGAGACCCAGTTCTGAAGGTAACGTTTGAGAAGCCCTCTTTTTTTCCCTATTTCCCTAAAATAATAAAGAGAAGAAGCCCTCTGTGTCGGAGCGTCTCTGTAACGCGTGGAGAACTACATCGCCGTTAGTAGAATGTTGTGGAGATAAAGTAAACAATGCTGATTTAGCCACTGGCTAGCGGACGAGCGTGTTGGGAGAGACGGCAGGCTGCAGGAAGAGAGGAGACTTGAGTAGAAGGACTTTGGAACTGACACGGCTTCCTTGTGTTGGACATGATGAGGAACTGACAAATTTTATGTGTCTTTTGATTTAATTGTTTTTTATTCAAACTAACAAGTACAGCAACGGTGTAGCAATTCTTTTCTATTTCTTAGCTGAATTAGCAGACTCATTTTTCAAGTAATCATTCATTAGGGTTGTGTATTTGCAGCAAACAAGCAATAAGAAACAGCCAACTAATGCATCCACTTATCCTACCCTGTACTTTGTCACATGTTTTGGCATTAATAAATAATTAATTAATGTCTTACTAATGTTGTACTATGCATGTCATCAGGAAGTCCTTACCTGACCTTATGCAAGGTGAAAACATCGATGCCCTTTGGAAACACTTTCCAAATGCTAATAGACTCCTAAACATTACTTAACCATAATTAATCATTGATAAATTAATGTTTGAATTGTTTTGATTTTGGACCCTAAGGTTCAGTAATAGACATTAATAATTAATAATTAATAATGCATTAAATAATATGTGATAGTAATGCTGTGTAATGCATAAAAGCAGTTGTTAACACTTAATAATGCACTAAGTAATGTTAATAAAGGGATGATTGTGTTGGCTGGCAAAATCACCCACGATCCTCCATCAGCTACAAACTCTGTGTGAGCTACAGCTTAGCTCCCAGGTTAGTTCAGTTAACCGCTAGGTTGATACCTCCATTGTTAGCTCTGTTAGCGTAGCACCTAGCTTCGGGTCATCTTAGCTACATCGGTTCAGTTGATGGGTGTGTTTCCACCCTCACACCACCACCCTCAGCTCCACCTCTTTGTCCCACACTTGTATAGCGCCTTTCAGAGTAAGGACTCCAAAGCGCTTTACACTACAGTATTTCATTCATCCATTCACACACACATTCACACACTGATGGTGATGAGCTACGATGTAGCCACAGCTGCCCTGGGGCGTACTGACAGAGGCGAGGAAGTAGGTGGTCTGGCCTGAAGAGGCAGGCTTTTTCTGTCTATCTCTTTCTACAGTCTCTGTGTGAGACCGATTTCATGCAAAGAACTTCTCGAACATGTTTTGTATATCTCTATTATAACTTTAGAAAAAGTTAAAACATGTCCCTTTTAAAATCCATCAATTTTCATC